GAAATACAGGTACAATTTTAACTGTAACCTAGTTCAGGCATCCATTATTTTGTATTTTATATTGTTATTAGTATTATTATGCAATGTATGACCTTATTTGAATAAAGATATATTTATTATTATTATTATGTTTTTTCTTTACTTTACTTATCTGCAAGAATATACGAGGTTTTGAAATTAAGTGGGCCGTAATTGGCACCTTTACCTTAGATATTGTTTATTTTTTCAGGTAGTTTTTGACAACACTCGACGTGTATGCCATCGATGTTGGCAAAGAGCTGAAAACGCAATTAGACCACCGCCTCCTGTCCAAGAAGTACACGAGGAACCACAACAACAAACTGTGGAAGTTATTCATGTTCCCGAGTACTCAAGAGCACCAAACAAACCAAGGCATTGTATATTCAATAATTGTCGAAACACAACACATCATAGGATCCCGGAAGTTGTAAAGATACAGACGTTTTGTTCGTATAGGCTTTACATTCCCGACGGTGCAAGGGTGTGTCAAGAACACCTCCAAAATATTAACTGGGCTGAATTACCTCAGAATTGCCTCACCATCACTCATCAATCACTCATGATTTTAGTGTAGCGCAGTTTAGTCACGTTTGTGATATGATGAGATGTGCTTTACAACGCGGTTCTAGGTTGGATTTAAATACCAGAGGTGCGTTATCTGATGAAGAAATGCATTTGGAATCGAATTGTGCGTTACAACTGAACGTAGTAACGCACAATTCGATTCCATATTAGAGCAAACACCCTCACTAGTCCAAGGATGCAAAAATCCCAGAAATGCGTTAGGTATATTTCTAACAAAACTGCGAACTGGTGATTCCAATGAAAGACTTGCTACTTTATTTAATATGACAAGGCAAAACCTAGAGCGGCTAATGAACAAAGCACGTGATTGCCTCACCGAGGAATATGTAGACCTGGATCTAGGTGTGGACCACATAACAAGAAATACCATTAAAGAAAGAAACCTTACTATACCAAGGGTAATACATATATGGAGACAATGAAAACTCAAAAGCAATTATAATATGCGACGGCACTTATATTTATATACATAAAAGTGCTAACTTCCTATTTCAGCGACAGTCATATAGCCTGCACAAGTTTCAAAACTTGTTAAAGCCTTTCTTGATTGTCAGCACAGATGGATACATCATTGATGTAAAGGGACCATACGCAGCCACGAAGACAGATGCAAACATTATGAGCAGCATAGCATTATGAACAACGGAGAAAATCCAATTCATTTTTTGTTGGAACCCAACGATGTTTTTATATTGGATCGCGGGTTTAGAGACAGCCTGGGCGACATAGAAGCTTGTGGCTATGAATATCATGTTCCACCTTCCAAGAATAGACAAGAATCTCAATTGAGAACGGAACAAGCAAACGAATCTCGAATGGTCACCATGTGCCGCTGGGTGGTGGAAGTGGTTATCAAATGAAGCTTGCAAGATCATATTGCAGTGAACATCTACAAAACGGAATTTACACAATAGAGATTTACAGACAAGATGCACTTGAAGACTTGCCTGACTATGGGATAAACGAAGATTCTTGGCTCATGCGCGGTCGTATCCAATCTCGACATATTAGAGCCAGAATATATTATTGTTATATTTTAATTAATGATAATAATACTATCACTCAACACTATTGCACATGCCTGACTGGACGACGTACAGTGGGTACCTGTGCTCACATTGTATTTAGACTTTGTTAGATTCTATGAAACCTCCTCTATAAAAAAACAGTATTTGATGAAAATCAAATAACAAGTATGCCATTCAATTAATGGATTTATACGATCGTTTCACAGTCGCCACTTAAGTTCTTTTTAGATGATTTTGTAGATAGCCTATATGTATACACAGATTTAGATATTTGGAACCTCATGCCTACATCGTAGCAAGCATATAGACTTACATGTTCCATCCTGACGTTCACATTTCAAATCACTTAAAGACAATATACTCGAAGGTCACGTGATTGGTCAATGCGATTTTGCAGGGAACTGCAGTTTTGTAATACAAGATGCTGCGCAGTCCCTTCACTGGAATAACCAGGCCACTCTTTCTGTTGGAAATAAAATGTATATATGTATGTATCGATGTGTATCGAACACAATCTAGTAGTTATGTATATTAATTTAAATGTCATTGATTTAGTTGATATAATGGAACACTCTCTCTCTGAAATAAAATATGGCTCCGATGAGTTGAGTTCAATTGATCTCTTGTAAAAAGTAATAAGTAAAGTGTAGTGTGTAGGGTTTAAATGCCCTAATGGTTTTGTGCAAACTTCAACACTTTCGACGTCGATTATGATGGACAAGAGGTAAAACACGGAAATAAAGTAATGGTTTCTGACTGCGACTTTTTTCACGTCTCAAATTACATCGGCATCTCCAAGTAAACAACATATGTACTTGAGCATTGAAAAACAAATCTAAAACTGCCCGGATTTGGAAGTCGAATCGTAAAGCTTGGGTGACAGCCTCCCTTTTTTGAAGACTAAACCAGTCTTCAAAAAAGGGTCATCATTTTATACCTGAAGTCGAACGTTATTGCCAGTCTAAACAATTCCCGTTTAAAGTGATGCTATTAATCGATAACGCACCCGGTCATCCTCCTGCTATTTTAACTAATTTCGACCCACGTGTGAAAGTTGAATTTTTGCCACCAAATACAACCAGCTTGCTTCAACCGATGGACCAGGGAGTTATCAAAACATTCAAAGGTTATTTATTACAAGAAACAATCGTTTGCACATCTGCATAAAGCTATGAGACAAAACAATGAGCTCTGTGTTAAATACTTTTCGAAACAATTCAATGTTTTACATGCTGTGAAAATCATTGGAGAATCTAAGGATGAAATTTCACAAAAAACTTTAAATGGCGTCTGAAAAAATCTGTCCATATTTTTTCTCCACATTAGAATCAGGAGAAATCAGTGCCAGGGCCTGATGAAATTGGTAATGTGATCGAAGACGTTGTCGAACTTGGTAGACAAATAAATTTAGAAGTGGATAGTGATGACATTCAAGAACTGCTGGACTGACACAATCAGGAGCTTACATTTGATGAGCTCATGAAAATGCGTGAACAAGAGGAAGACATTGAGAATCTTGATTCATTGGACCCAGTTCAATTGGAAGATCAAATGACAATTGGAACCTTCACAGAAGCCTTCAGTTCAATTGAAAAAGGGTTAACAATTACGTAAAGTATATATTCCAACGAAGAGCGCATTTCTGTAACAAAACAAGGAATAAAAAAATTACTAGCATGCTACGAGAAGATGTTACGGGAGAAGAAAAAATCCTTGACTCGCCAGACGACTTACTTAGATTTTATGAAACACTACATTAAAATAACTTCGGATTGTGTTTATACAGTTTCTTACAGTATTATTTGTTATACTATCTACAATTGGTTTCTCGTTGATTCCCTAAATTTTTGTTTTATATAGTGTCCGGTTCCAATTAAACATACTTTGTATGTCTTTATATGCAAAATTGGAAACCGACTTGCGCAAATTCAAGAAATTAATTTATCATTTTCAATTACTGCACATTATATAAGTATACTATTATTTAGAAATACATAAATGTTACGTCATGTACGCGGCTTTATCGGTAGATGTTCTGAACGTTACCTTTTTACTCTATAGTATTATACACAGTCAGGTCATAAGTAACATCGATGTTGAAATAAAAACATCGGTGTTTGGACTCCGAAATAATCGGCACACCCATGTTTTGAGATTATATATCGAAACGTCAATATACGCTTTAGGGCCATCTGGCGTGCATTGGAAGTACTAGCCAGATTATCTCTTATTTTTAGTATAACTAATTTGTACTAGATATCATCGAAAACGTCACCGATGATAACAAGGGTAAGTTGCACGAATAGTTTGCTTGCTTTTCCAAAGAGATTAAAAATACTGTCAACTTCAACGCTCGTGTGATTTTTTCTCTCCTTGTCTTTTTTATAATAATAAACATTTTTCTGTAAATAATACCTAAAGTTTTATTTCCTACCGAAAACATGTTTATCGAACATCGATGTTTTTATAATAACGATCTTCCCTATCGCGGAGGTCGTCGTATATGCCAAATGAAAAACGATGTTTTCAATAAAACTTAAGTGTTTACAATCATTTTATTAATAAATTAATTGATTATTTATTTACAGTTAAAAACTTAATCATATACATAGGTATTTTTTTTACATTATTTGTTTTTCTCGGTCTAAATAACCAATATGTGACACAGATGACATAACATTCCCAAGAAGCAGTAATAATAAACTTTGGCTACAATTCAGAATATTCCTTAAACAATTAACTATTTAAATGCTATCTACAACAAATCAAACTATTAACTTCAGTGTGTTAATGCACCATTATGCAGATTCCGCATTACTTAGCTAAGTATTTTATATTAATATTTATAGTAGGGGAGACCACGCGGGGATTTTTTTTGGATTTACTCGAGCGCGGCAGAATAACATATGGGGAGCAACCTTGCACGTAGTTAAGTACTCCCACTATACCTGAGCCATCTATGTAGGGCAGAACGTCTAGGGCAGCAAAAACCAAATTTCAACAAACGGCCATGACTTTTGGTCGGGTCCAAATCGGCAGTCTTTTGAATAGGAGCTACTGGAGGGTTCACGTAACATCCCTTCTCAATGTCTGACGCGCTCGGTTATTTTTCCTATATTCTACCCCTTCGTACGGACACCCCCATATCATGCAAACCGCGGCAGATCAATATTTTTTCCGTTCTTAGAAACGTTACATGAACTAGTAGCTTATATTCAAAAGACTGACGATTTGGGGGCGCCCAAAAATCATTACCGTTCGTTGAAATTTTGTTTTTGCTTTCCTAGACGTTCGGCCCTACATAGAGGGCTCAGGTACAGTGGGAGTGCTTAACTAGGTGCAAGGTTGCTCCCCATATATTATGCTGCCGCGCTCGAGTAAATCCAAAAATCCCCGCTTGGGCTTCCCTACTATTATCAGTATCAGAAAATATAATTAACATAAGAGTAGTTGCTTGTAAGAAAAACATGGCGGTTTTTTAGTGCTAACCAGAGATCTATATTGAAGTAAATGTATGTACTTCAAATGAGGGTTATCGCATCTGAATCCGCCGCTAGCGGCGCTTGTGTAGCGTGAGGTCTCCGAAATGTCAAGTGCTATTGCTTGTGGGCTGAATACGCGGGTTTATTTCTTATTAAAATCATGTTGTGAATATTTGGTAATAACTCCGATTGATTATTATAGCAAATATGAGTTACGTGTCAATGAATGTCAGTGATTTAAAAGCAGAGTCAAAAAACATTAAATTAATAAATGAATATTTCTTACACTCACACCAATTAGCCTAGCTAGCCACAAAGTAAGCACTATAAGGCTTGTGTTATGGGATACTAGGGTAACGGATAGAATACATATACTGTACATATATAAGTATATTTTTATAGAAATACATATTAAACATCCATGACTGGAGTACAAATAGTCATATTCATCACACAGACATCTGCCCCCACCGGGATTTGAACCCGGGACCTCTCGAGTCGGCGACACCATGAAACCCGGCGTACAAACCACTCGGCCACGGAGGTCGTCAAAACATTATTTTGTCCCCCTTTTTTTCCGAACGAAACAGAACTGCGTAGCACTGTGGCATGGCCGATAACGTTTGCGATACGATTCTTTTGTATTAAAATATGATTTAACTTTGATTTCACAGACGTATTAACAAATTTTAAAAGCTACACTTCAAGACCTCAGTCAACAGTGGCGCCATCTGGTCAGGACAAAAAACGGTAGCCCTCATTGTATGAAAACCGAGCGTGTCATAGTTTGATTACTCACAAGAACAAATAAATGATGCAAAACCATGGGCCACAAGTCACCTATTTCAATTACAGGCAGTTCTCGACTTAAGTCGTTTCGACTTACGTCGTTTCAAGTTACGTTACGTCGAACAATGTTCTGACACTATTCCTCAAGCATACGTCAATTGTTTCGATTTCCGGCATAGGAGAATTCACTTGTCGCGAGGTCTATGTCCGTGGGGCCGGCGTCCGCGGGGATGTCTCGACTTACGTCGTTTCGAATTCACGTCGCGAATTTTGGAGAACCTAACATGTCGTAAGTACGAGGACTGCCTGTATATCGTTTTTACAGCCTAATATGAAAATTTCAAAGTTACGTTATGATTAACGTCTGTTATCGAGAACGGCGACGCAAAGGAATTAATAAGCTTAAAAGGATGGCTATAGGACTGCCTTTTGACGCGCGAAGTACATACACTACGTTAGCTATTTCGATCAAAGTCTGTGGGCAACTACCACATTGTGATTATTCAATACATAATATTACCAACAGCGCCATCTATTGACAGTAGCGCGACCTTTCTTCTCTTTACCGATTTAATTTCATTACACTTAACTAAAGTTCGTATCAAGGTCGTAACCTTGATGGTGTGTTTTCATGTGATTTTTTAAACTACCATTCTGCGTGAACGCGGAGTTGCATATGTCACATTTATACCTGAAAGAAAATCAAACATTAAATTTTTATATTTTTTTTATAATAATTTATTTCAATACCTAATTGATAAATAAACAATACTATTGTACGGACGAATTAAAGTTGATACGACTTCAGAAACAGCCGGGACCATCAGCTTAACGTGAGGAGGAGCTCGAGACAATAAGTTTTTGGTTACCCATCTAATGACCGACCATTGCGATAGTTGCACAATCGTAAACAGTACCCTTAGCACGAACCAATCATCATCATCAGCCTATTAATGTCCCCACTGCTGGGGCACAGGTCTTCCCTATGGATGGAATAGGGCGATTGGGCCATGACCCACCACACGGGCCCAGTGCGGATTGGCGGGTGCTAACGACTGCAGATGCAGCCGCCAAAGGGTTAACGTGCCTTCCGAAGCACGGAGGAGCACGAGATAGTAAATTTTTGGTCACCCATCCAATGACCGACCACTGCGAAAGTTACTTGACTTCAACCATCGCAGCCGAACGCGCTTACCACTTGCGCTAGCTCAAAAAGCACGAACCAATATCGAATTCGAATATATATATATATATATTCACCATGCCATAGACAATTGGCGCCAATATAAAATTAACTAAACATTCGCATTCGCGAATGACGGTACCAGACATTCGCATCCGCATTCGCGAATGTTCAAAAAATGCCATTCGTTACATCACTAATACATACATAAGCATATTTATATATAAATACATATTAAACATCTATGACTGGAGTACAAATGCTCGTTTTCATCACAGACATCTGCCCCCACCGGGATTCGAAACCGGGACCTCTCTAGTAGGCGACTCCTTGAAACCCAGCGTATAAACTACTCGGCTACAAAGGTCGTCTATATAATTATAACATAAAATACTGAAATTGCTTAGAAATTGTTGAAACTAAGAGCAGAAATCCTAATTGAAGAAGATTTATTTATGTTTAAGATGATTTAATTAAAACAAAATTTAAACTGAATCACATATTTTTCGTGTTCAAAATGTTCGCCGCGATTTCTGACACACGCACGGGCCCGTCTTCTTAGTTCTTACTTCCGTTGTCGTTATTTTCAACATCATTTCCTGTTTCATCGTTTGAAATGCTGCATTTATTCTTTCTATTAATTGTTCTTTTGTGTTTATCTCCATATGAGTTTAAACTAGTTCCTTGGCCCGACCCCACACGAAAAAATCCATTGGAGTAAGGTCGGGTGACTGAGCAGGCCAAGAGATTGGGCCATCTCTGCCGATCCAGCTATCAGGGAAGCAATTATTTAAAGGCTCTCTTACATTTAAAGTCCAATGGGCTGGACACCCGTCCTGCTGAAAGATGACCTCTCGATCACTTTCCAATATTAGAACACAGGAATCTTCAACAAGAACTGGCAAATGGTTTTGGAGAAATTCTAAGTAATAGTCGCCGTTCATATTGTCTGGCAATAAGTGGGGCCCAATCAACGTTCTGCCAGTCACTCTAGCCCACACATTAACGGAAAATTTTCTTTGAAATGTCACCTGCTTTTTCCAATGTGGATTATTATCTTTATCGGCCCATTGATGCAGGTTATGAAAGTTTGTAATGCCCTATCTAGCGAATTTACTTTCATCTGTCCATAGGATTGATTTTTAAAAACCACGCATCTTCAATGTCTCCGTTGTGAAGAATTCGGCAAATTTGAATCCTTCGCTGAGGACCTCCTTCTTCCAGACCTTGCACGCCTGTGCCATGGGACGGATACTTGGTATTTTGATGCATTGTATTCCACACCTACCAATGTGAAATGTATTCTCATAATACTTTATATTCATAATAGCTTTTTTTATTCTCAATTTGGTATGTAGGTCCTATTTTCAATTTATAAGCTATCTTCATGCATTATTCAAGATTTATTATTGAAGATTCCAATACTCCAATATTCGAAACTGATCGAGAGGTCACCTTTCAGCAGGACGGGTGTCCAGCCCATTGAACTTTAAATATAAGAGAGCATTTAAATAATTGCTTTCCTGATAGCTGGATCGGCAGAGATGGCCCAATCTCTTGGCCTGCTCGGTCACCCGACCTTACTCCAATGGACTTTTTCGTGTGGGGTCGGGCCAAGGAACTAGTGTATACTCATGTCGAGATAAACACAAAAGAACAATTAATAGAAAGAATAAATGCAGCATTTCAAACGATGAAACAGGAGATGATGTTGAAAATAACGACAACGGAAGTAAGAAAAAGGGGCCTTGCGTGTGTTAGAAATCGCGGCGAACATTTTGAACACGAAAAATAAGTGATTTCAGTTTAAATTTTGTTTTAATTAATTCATCTAAAACATAAAAAAAATCTTACTCAATTAGGAGGATTTCTGGTCTTAGTTTCAACAATTTCTAAGCATTTTGCATAAACGATACCTCAAAAGAAAGTACAATAACTGAACATGTTTTTAAAGAGCTTTGAACAAACAAAACACCCCCCGTGTTTTTTTTTTGTAAGCCTAATAGATAAACAGCTTTTTCCCATTTTAAAAATTTACAATAATTTTAAAAATCTGTAAAAAATGTTTGGTGATACAGCTTTTTTAAACATTTATTTCTTAGTTTGCTTTCACATTTGTTTTATCAAATAAAATCAAGAAGAATTCATTTAATATTGCAGTTAGCCATTATTTGGAACGGTGTACTTTTAGGTATTTTCTTTAAAATCGTTAAAAATTAATAAAAATAAAATGGTCAGACTTCGTCTATGATAAGTATGGCTCAAATGTTTCTAAATGGTATCTGTTAGCTTTCCTTTAAAGATTTGCACTGACCTTCCAAACACCCTGTATAATAAAATTCCGATAGAAACTAAAAGAGAAAGCAATATAAATTGATCAAATCGTACATTTTGCTACCAAAGCATTTTTAACCTAAAGTAATTATTTAGGTCAATATTTTACTTTTTAAATATATTTCATAATCACGTCCAAATTAGTTGGCGTTTGTCTCAAGCAGTGTGCACACAGTTACTTTCAAGTTTAATAATAAATATTTTTCATCAAGTTTATCAAGTGTTTTCCTGTCTTGGATATCAAGAATTCGCAATTCAATGTATTGAGTTGACAAGGGCACGTTAGGTTAGGTTAGGTTATAAATACATTTAAAATAAAACTCAAACAACATCTTATCACAAAAACATACCTACTATTCAGTAAATAAATTCATGAATGATAAAAGAAACAGACACGGAAAACTCACTAACTTGTTTGTTTGAAACTGTTCAATGCAGTCTAGATCTAGATATTATACTTGCAACACCCTGACAGGGTCATTTACCATGCTAAAATTATTGTTTTAAGATCCAATACTGTACATGTGCAATAGGGGTGATGACGGGGTACAGTAAACGAAATTCTATTTAGTCCGTCAGTTAGATGATCGAAAAATAATTTACGTATTTTTTCTTTGGGCAATCAACCAAAAAATGACAAAGTTATAGCGCGTCAAAGTTTGGGAGTAGGGGCTCGTGACGTCACTTTTTAGTGAATTTTCATTCAAAAGTGTACTCAAACGTGACGTCATGCGACTTTTCAAATCAATATATCTTTGCGATGTTTATATTATGTGAAAAAAGAAAAAATACGTGTCCAATACTTTTAGATAATCAACCTGATAAACGAAGAAAAAACAATTGTCATCATCCCTACTAAATAAATAAAAAAGCGAGTGTGTTTATGACCACACGACTGCAGTGAAACTTCTTTACCTCCAATGATCTGAACATCATAAACTGAACATGAAGATTTGTTGATAGAAAAAAACCACCAATCCGCGCTAGATCCGTTATCACCCTCCAATCCGCGCTGGGTCCGTTATCACTCACCAATCCGCGCAGGGTCTGTTATCACCCACCAATCCGCGCTGGGTCTGTTATCACCATCCCCACTGAGTCCATTGTCACCCTCCAATCTGCACTGGGTCCGTTATCACCCACCAATCCGCGCTGGGTCCGTTATCACCCACCAATCCGCGCTGGGTCCGTTATCACCCACCAATCCACATTGGGTCCGTTATCACCCACCAAGCACTAGATTCATGTATTTATTTAAATAATATAAAAAAATGTGACGGGTATTATTCATTGTTTACCGATGAGTCACCGATGACACTAATCGTAACGCAAAAATTGTAACACATTCGCTAGTTTACCCCCCAAGACAAATGTGCCTAAAGAAGTTTCACTTCAAAAATATAAAGGTTGTCATGCATATAATTGACATGGAGGAAAAAGTCACTCGCCTCCTCAAGAGATGGCGCTACCGGCGTTGCGATCAATACGTACGGAAGCCTGAATCGCGCAAGTACAATTCAGAGGCTAACATTCCATAGAGGCTGTTACAAAAATACAAATAAAGCTTGAAGGGCGTTGAAGTACATCACATAAGGAGTCTTCTCTAATTTTCTTAAAATACTTGCATGTTAACTTTTTATAAAAAGAGTTATTTTTAATGATCCTCGAACTAGTGACGTGTCTTAAAATGATCGATAATTTTATTAATCAGTCAAATGATGTACTTCAACGCCCTTCAAGCTTTATTGGTATTTTTGTAACATCCTGTATATACGATGCCCGGTCAACATCAGTCGGGCCGCAGCCCCCCAGCTACCATCACCCAGCTCGGAGGAAGATCTTCCCCTTTTGGCCTTCCTACAAATATAATAATAAGATTAATATCCTAACCTCCTATCGTTGGTGTGCGCCCGCATATGTTCCTGGAGCGATTGTAATCGCGGGTAAGTTTTGTCGCAGAGATCACAGCGGTAGTTCCTCTCCCCGGTATGTGTGGCCATGTGCTCCTTCAGACGGGACGGTAAGTAGAATCTGGGTTGATCGTTACAAAAAGAAAATTATAAATAAAAATGCTTATGACCACACGACTGATTTCTTTAGCTCCATCTGTATGTATATACACAAGGTTAATTTTAAAACACCAACAACCTCTTAGGGAGTGATTCTACCCATCAACAGGAATAACTTTTATTATGGGACCAACGCTGAAATCGCGAAAAAAATATCTGCTGTTTCATACAAAAGTGCATCAGCTAATCGACCGAAATGTATGAAACAGCTGTCAATATCTCGATATCAGATTTCACCCTAATAGGTTCAGTGGTTTGAACATGAGCAAGTAACAGATACACAGACACACTTTCGCATTTATAATACTAGTATGGATGGTGTGTGAATGAATGAAGAAATTACTGTAACGCCCGCAGCGTTACACCTCTTTGCTTGTCTAGCCTTTGGCCTTCGGCTGGCATTCATATTTAAAACTATAAGATATATTTAAAATTTAGAATTGCATTATCCTTTGTCTTGATTTGATGGATGGGAGATTGAAAACGGGCGTAGACATAGAAACATTGTAACACTATAATATAATATACTAGTAATATATAATTAATATTTTCAACACTCACACCAATTAGCCTAGCCCCAAAATAAGCACTGTAAGGCTTGTGTTATGGGATACTAGGGTAACAGATAGAATACATATACTGTACATATATAAGTATATTTATATAGAAATACTTATTAAACATCCAAGACTGGAGTACAAATGCAGGTATTCATCACACAAACATCTGCCCCCACCGACACCATGTAACCCGACGTACAAACCACTCGGCCATCGATGTTGTCACAAGTCATAAACTACTTTTGAACAAAACATGTCAAATACTTGTTTATTTATTTATACTTTATTGCACAAATGAGTGTACCAATGGCGAACTTAATGCCATTAGGCATTCACTACCAGTCAACCGGAGAATTATAGCAAAGATGTTATTTAGGTAGTGCAAAAAGAATTCATTAAATTATTTATTATAATTAAAGTATATCTTTAAAAACAAGATAATATATGACGCCATGAGAACCATAGTGGCCTAACTCATTTTTTTACAATATTGAGTTTATGATTTTTTCCAGTTCAAATTGATCATTTTGATAGAACCAGAGTGGTATAAAAGTGATACAACGAATATTCACTAGATGGCAGTATAATCACTGTTACGTTTTTAATCTGTGATCTAAATTTGAGGTGCGATACTGGCCTAAGTAAGATAGGCCACTATGGTTAAAAAAATGGGTGCGTGTACTTATGTAGGCGCGTGAGAAGTTATCCTTCTTTGGCATCGTTTAAAATTAGTTTTTAATTGCATGCAAATAATTAATTACAATAAATTAATAAAAAGTCTGGAAAAGGACACAGTCAATAAAGTTCAGTTTTAATTTGAAAAAATAAATAAATAATCAAAATATTCAATTAAAATCGCTACTGAATATAATTTATTAGAACATATGTGATTTGCACTTGTATGTAACTCCAACACTTATTCCGAATATACAAACTAGAAACATGTGGATAAATATTATAAATATGAATACCTATAACTGTTACTTTATTACAAAAAATAAAGATGTGGTTTTTGGTTCTACTACACCAATGGTCAAGAGATGGCGCTGTAGTCTCCTGAATCGCGCTTTGGTTCCGTTGTTCCAGATTAATAAATACTTTTGATAGGCCTTCACAATGCAGTCGTTAGCACCCACTAAATAGAGATTCTATTTCAAAAGTAATTACAATTAATTTTTGTGTTACAGTGATGCGCGCGCATCTTAAAATTTCACTCTCATCATTTTTTCATAACGCGCCTAAAGAAGTATAACTTCAAAAATGAGTCAGGCCACTATGGTTGTCATGGCCTCATATATCATCATAATCATCATCCCTTTTAATGTCCCCACTGCTGGGGCACAGGCCTTCCCTATGGATGGAATAGGGAGATTGGGCCATGACCCACTACGCGGGCCCAGTGCGGATTGGTGGGTGCTAACGACTGCAGATGCAACCGGGACCAACGGCTTAACGTGCCTTCCGAAGCACGGAGGAGCTCGAGATAGTAAATTTTTTGGTCACCCATCCAATGACCGACCACTGCGAAAGTTGCTTAAATTCAACGATCGCAGCCGAACGCGCTAACCACTTGCGCCATCGAGCTCCTCATAATTAAACGTAATAAATGTTTACTTCGTTCGAGCTACGTTTCCCAGGACTCCATGCTGGAGTCTTTATATTACCTACCTCTGATCACACAAGTCACACTGATGCCTGTAGACCTTCAAATGGTTCCTCCTATTGTGTTCCATCAAAGTCTTCCTTCTATTGTACACTTTATCACACAATTTACAAGGGAACGTCCTTTTATCACCGTGCACTTCGATCAAATGTCTATTCCTCAAAGCGTATGACAAAAAACTAGCTTCACACTTATAACAATTCACAGTAGGCTTCTTCTCATGTACAGTGGCAACGTGTAAATATCTACTGTATTTGGATTTCAGGTTTTTACCGCATATATCACAAGGAAAGTTGGTCTCAACCCGGCTATGAGATTTAATATGAGTCCTTAAAGAATTCTGTTCCAAGAAACAAGCACCGCACTGATCACAAATGAATGTACCAAAGTGTTCGACCATATGCTTTTTAAGCATGTCAAAGTATGGGAAGACGCTACCACATTCCGTGCAACTCAAATTGTTCGGGGTCAATCGGAATTTCAGGAATTCGTTGTCTACTTGGTGTATATTTTTTTCATGCACCGTGCTGATGTGTCGTTTGAAAGTTTCAATGTCCCCAATTTTAGTGTCACACAATCGGCAATCTATTCTTGTGATGTCTATCTTTGGTATTTTCTTGTTTTCCATCATGTTTTCGAAGTCTCCTGTGTCGTGGGACAGTGTATGGTCTCTCAGCTCGTTGGGGTTCACGAATTGATCTTTGCAGTAGTAGCAGTAGTAATTGCTGATTCTGTTTTGGAACGGGCAAACGTACGAGTTTTGGACTATTGTGACTGCGTTCATGTATATCATGTGGTCCCGGTCTGACGGTGATTTCTTTTTGGCTTTGGGCGGTGGCTTTGGTTCTTTCTCCCTCTTCTGCGGTATTGGTTCTGTGAAAAAAACATTTTTTGTAAATGGAGTAGAGGAGCTCGATGGTGCATCTATTAGCGCGATCGGCCTGCCATCGCCACCCTAGATACACCACGTGCGCTTAAAATGTGTCCCAATCAGGGCTTGAAACCGGTTTCAAAAATACCGGTAAATAAAGGTTAACACCGGTTTTTAGTAAAGGTTTCGTTCGGAGCGCGTCCGAAATGAAAGCGGTACCTAAAACCTTAATAAACCGGTGTAATCCAGAGCGACACGTGGACGCGTCGGCATCGCTTGAAGTTTGTTTTGTTTGAACTAATCAAGTCACAACTTGTTAATGCTCAGAGATTGATGCATTTATTGACACGTTTGCTAGCGGCTAGTGAGTCAAGTTATTCATTTTATAGTTGTTTATTTATTTCAGCCGTCAGTAAGAGCGAAATGAAACCCTTTAAAAACCGCTAAATTGATTCAAAACCTATTTGATTTCGCTTTTTAGGAAAACCGGTTTTTTAAGGATAAGGTAGAGCCAAACCTTAATAAAACGCTCCTAATGTACTTGACACTGATTTAGGTTTGAAACTTAACCGGTAAACAAGCCCTGGTCCCAATTAAGAAGTGCTTGAACTAGGGGTGTCCACTCTGAAAAAACATCGATGTATTTTTTGCTCCGATACATCGCAACTATACATCGATGTCATTCGATGTATCGGATGAAAACATCGATGTGTTTTAAACATCGAGTACATTTTCTGAAATTTTATTACAAAACTCAACTTATGTGTAAAGTGACCCATCTCAAAAGAGGCCATCTTTTCATAGTAAAAAAAAATACAATTGAAGTTTATGAAAAGACCTTAATCCATAATTTTATTATAGTTTATATATTAATCTTTCATAAAATAATAGAATTAACTCCTTTCATAATGAGTAGGTAAAAGTAAATACAAGTAAAAGTCATGTTTCAGAAAATTATATTTTTACAAAAGATCATATAAAAAAACGCTAAATAACCCGCAAAATTTTTGCTAAGTCTTTCAAAAGAATATTAGAAATATACTTCAATCTTAGTTTCGTTCACAAAACTAAAGAAAGAAAGAAAAAGTATTTAAAATCTAAAGGTTATTAAATGTTCATAAACATAGAAACTCGTAGTTATTTTTTATTGTCACTGCACTGACTCTTGCGCAGTGCTGCCAACATCGGGTCCATATCAGAGAATTCGGAATAATGATGTTTTATAATAGTAATAAGTAAAATTTTAGTGGTCAAACTTAAGTTTTTTTACTGAGGTCAAATCAAAGAGGATTATTATTATCACTACGTGGTCAAACTCTATTACCAATTCGATGTTTCTTTAAAACATCGATGCATCGAGTATATTGAAAGCTTTTCAAAACATCGGATCGATTCGATGTTTTTCATTGCAAACATCGATGTTTTCGATGCATCGATGTATATCGAATATCCCTAGCTTGAACTCCACTCAAGCACTTCTTGGTTCAGTCACGCGCGGACCGTTGATAAGTCAAGATGCTGCAGAGCTACGTGAAAAAATGCGAAAAAATACTTATAGTACGTAAAGAGTCGTTTTTTCGACAGGTATGTAATATAAAAAAATGCCCTATATTGATTTTGACTAAGCGATCCACCTATATTAAATACACCAACACGAACAAAATCGTGGCCGAAACCTGTTCAAAAGGTACATTGAGCGATCCACGGAGCTCCATAAGATGATCGCGTAGTCAATAACAATATAAGGTATTATTTAAACATTGAAACTCACCTTTAATGCATACTGTATTAGGTCTCAATTAAAATGCATGCGTAAAAGAGATACGACCGTTCGAAATGCAAGCTCGTAAAGTTTTACGACTTATTGCTATATGCGGAAGAATATAGACCTTATTTCTTTGTCTCTATGCGCAATTCTGAATGCGCTGTTAGCAAAATAGTAACGGACCGCGAGGAAAAGAGACGGCTATGTTACCGACCACGCATTTGAATATCACAAATATTTTCTATTAAATCAGTTCATAGTAAGTATTACAAAAAAAATTTATTCAAATGCGTTAAATTAACATACATTGATTAAATACCTGTTGAAATAACGACACTTCGCGTACTATAAGTGTTCGTATTTTTTCAAGCTCTGCGGCATCATTACTTTTCAACGGTCCGCGCGTGACTGTGAACCAAGAAGTGCTTGAGTGGAGTTCAAGCACTTCTTGATTGGGACACATTTTGAGCGCACGTGGTTTACCTAGGGTATTTAATATCGTTGACGCGATCATCTTCTGGCTTCGTGGATCGTCCAATGTACCTTTTGGACAGGTTTCGATTTTGTTCGTGTTGTTATATCTAGGGTATTTAATATCGTTGTAGTTTAAACATAAAAATAAGATGATCACCTACCTTCAGGTTTCTCCAGCATCTTTTCCAGTTTTTTGCTGAGCCTATGAACTTTACTCAGAAGATTCCGTTTCATAGTCTTCTTGGTCTGCTGTCTTGTTCTGGGTTTCACCTCTTCTACTTCTGGCAACTTATCTTTGCTCTCCTGTGGTTCTTCAACTGCTTCTGTGTAATCTGGGTCTGTGTAAAATATCCTTACTTTATTACATAATTATCGTGCTCATCCTCATTATATTAAAAATGTTAGAGTTAGTACGTTTAATACCAAAACATACACCCCATTACTAAAAAAAAACCGGTCAAGTGCGAGTCGAGCTCGCGCACCGAGGGTTCTGTAGGTATATTTTAATAATTATTAAAAAATATATATTAATTATTATAAACGTTCCTGAGAAAAACGGTCTTGACTGACGGACGGACGGACGGACAACAAAGTGATCTTATAGGGGTTCCGTTTTTTCCTTTTGAGGTACGGAACCCTAATAAACGAAGAATAAGCTGAGATTAGTTACTCCGTGTTTGTCTATGTTCATTAAATAGGGATGATGACTATTTTTTTTTTCTTCGTTGATCAGGTAGATTATCAAAAAGTATTGGACACGTATTTTTTCTTTTTTCACACAATATAAACATTGCAGAGATATATTGATTTGAAAAGTAGCATGACGTCACGTTTTGGTACAATTTTCACTTAAAAGTGACGTCACTCAGAAACTTTGACGCGCTGTAACTTTGTCATTTTTTGGTTGATTGCCCAAAGATAAAATACGTGTCCATTATTTTTTGATCATCTAGACTAAATAAATTTCGTTTACTGTACCCCGTCATCACCCCTATTACCCCTCGTTTACACCAAGAAACAAGTCATATAGTAGTTTTACACAAAACTTACAGAATGCTTGTTGTGACATTTTTTCGTTTACACTGCATAGACAACGAATATCTTTATAAGTATAAAGCTGTCCCAGCGAGCTTCGTACCGCCATAAAAAAATAGAGGTTGGTGGTAGAATATATATAAATGTATGTATTTTTGTATGATGTATCATAAAAAAAAAATTGTCCAAAAAAATTAAGGGTGGACCACCCTAAACATTTAGGGGATGAAGAATAGATGTTTTCAGATTCTCAGACCTACAGAAAATACATATAAAATTTCACGAAAATCGGTCGAGCCGTTTCGAAGACTCCAATTGCGCACACCGTGCCACGAGAATTTTATATATTAGATTTATAGTGATTTATACACAAAATATGTGAAGTAGAGAGATGGTGCAAGTGGTTAGCGCGTTCGGCTGCGATCGTTGAAGTTAAGCAACTTTCGCAGTGGTCGGTCATTGGATGGGTGACCAAAAATTTACTATCTCGAGCTCCTCCGTGCTTCGCAAGGCACATTAAGCTGTTGATCCCGGCTGCATCTGCAGTCGTTAGCACCCACCGATCCGCACTGGGCCCTGGTGGGTCATGGCCCAATCTCCCTATTCCATCCATAGGGAAGGCCTGTGCCCCAGCAGTGGGGACAGTAATAGGCCATGATGATGAAATAGTGATTTACGTCACATATTTTGTGTAACCAACAAGTTTGATGCAAGTATTGTATACTACATATTTTATACATGAACGAACATAAGTTGGAACAAAAAATTAAGACATTGTATAACTTTAACTGCTATTTCTTCTTTCAAATGTTTCATACTTGTAAAGGTATTCATTTGATATTGTGGGTTACCTACAATGCGAAGAGATGGCGCTGCCTTGCAGCTTAAGAAAGGCTAGAAAGAATTCAACACGGTCATCAGGATTCAGGGCCGCGGTAGCATAAGGGTCAGTGGAGTCGCCCGGATAGCGAAGGGTGCGGGTTCGAGTCCCGTCTGATATAATATTTTCTTTAGATTTAACCATTGTATAAAGTTTGTTATATACATTTATTACACCTGAGTGTAAACGAGGGGTTACAAAGGGCATAAGAGTGGTATGAACAAAACACGAAGCTAGGCTAAGCTTATTTCTCGTTCATAAATAATTATTTCCCACACTCACACCAATTAGCCTAGCCCCAAAGTAAGCACTGTAGGCTTGTGTTATGGGATACTAGGGTAACCGATAGAATACATATACTGATACATATATAAGTATATTTATATAGAAATACATATTAAACAGCCATGACTGGAGTACAAATCCTCGTATTCATCACACAAACATTCGTGCAAACCACTCGGCCACGGAGGTCGTCTAATTAAATTAAATTTTAACTTTTTGCCATGGATTGACCAGACATATGCAGGATAGGGCGCAGTGTAGCGTAAAGTCGATCATCATGTTTGCGAGATTTCGTTATTTATCAGGAGTCTGAAAATCATATAAAATGTCGGGAGAATCCAGACGATTCCCGACCACCTGGCAACCCTTAGAACAGCAGCTTTTGAGATAAATAAATAAATATTTCCACCACTTACACCAATTAGCCTAGCCCCAAAGTAAGCACTATAAGGCTTGTGTTATGGGATACTAGGGTAACGAATAGAATACATATACTGTACATATATAAGTATATTTATATAGAAAATACATATTAAACATCCATGACTGGAGTACAAATCCTCGTATTCATCACACAAACATCTGCCCCCACTGGAATTTGAACCCAGGACCTCTCGAGTCGGCGACACCATGAAACCCGGCGTACAAACCACTCGGCCACGGAGGTCGTCAGATAGCTGAGATAGCACGCAGACAAAGCTGGGGCCATCAATCGCTGAATTCAAATTACAATATCGTTAGTTCAATGTAGGCTGTTACAAGCACTCGTGAATGTCGAAAGATACGCCATCGGTTCGCAAATCTACGGCGGGGGACCTTGTACTGAAAAGAACCGGTAAGAAACTCAGCAAGGTCTAAAATTTTTATTTTTGAAGCATGTAACTGCTTGATGTTTAAATCTAAATAAAATATAACTAGAAAAAAATACACGCGGACCTGGCAGCAGACGGGACTCGAACCCGCACCCTTCGCTATCCGAGCGAATGCACTGACCAATTGCTGCCGCCCTGATGGCCGCGTCGAAATTCCTCTAGCCATACTTAAGCTGCAAGGCAGCGCCATCTCTTCGCATTGTAGGTAACCGACAATGTCAAATGAGTCAGCAAGGTCTGTTTGCAGCACCTTCATCTATCAGCTAGTTGAGTCTCACCTTCATTGTCCATGTCGTCGTCATCGGGAGACTCACAGTCATCGCAGACGGGCTCTGGTTTAACTTCCACTTCAATCTTGCTGGTCAGCTCTGCGAGACGGAACGTTTACGTCAAATCAACACAAGAAACCACCACATTCTTTTATTTTTTTTTCGGTAAGGCCGTATACAGAAAGAAAGCCGAAAGCCGATCAGCGCTTATCGGCGCTGATTCTTACTACATAAAGGAAGCCGATTTAAGCAAAGCAAGCAAAATGTCGGACGATGATTTGGTTTTGTTAGAAAATGTGTATTTAAAAATGCGAAAAAAAGCTATACATCCTATAAATAGAGAAAGGAAAAGTTTCGGAGAATACCATCATTTATTTGTAAAAAAAAATGATAAAAGATTTTATACATATACAAGAATGACTCAAGAAACATTTTATTACATTTTGGATTCAGTGAAAAACTATTTGATGAAAAATTGGTGTAATTGGCATAAAGAACCAATCCTTCCAGAAGAAGACTTGTTGTCACCATTCGGTAAGTACGAAACAAATAATTTTTGCGCTTAGTTAATAAAAGATAAAGTTATTAGATTTATAAAAAGATTATAACTTAGATTGATTTAATCTAAGGATAATAATTCAAATACAAATCATTTATTATTCCGACAACATAGATCATAATGACCAGCTGACCAGCGTGTATCGGCATTTGTCGGCGCTGATCGACGCTTATCGGCGCTGGTCCATAGAAAAAGGATCAGCGCCGATAAGCGCTGAGCGGATTTCGGCTTTCTTTCTGTATACAGCCTAATAGAACAATTATTAACCGTTTAAACATATTTCCAAAAAGTATCAACTAGTCTATTACACAAGTCAATACCTTCTTTAGTATCCAGTCTGGAAGCGAGGAACATTTGTTCGCATTGCAACACCTGGTGACGAAACGCGGAAGCGTCCCGCAGTCGGGCCACGCAAGTTGCGCACACGCCGCACTCTTTAGTGTCGCCATCTAAATGCGATAACTGCGGACAAACAAAGTTTAGTTTACTATACTTTGTCAGAGCGGTTCCCGCAATTAGTCCTTATTGACGACAGCCGTGCACCGAGCCGAGAAAAAAAAATGCCGACCAATCACAAAGCCTACTTTAAAGGGGCGGGGTATCATTATCATGCGACGGCGAAGTGATCGCGTGATGAACCGCCAATCAGAAGGCGCACTTTAAAAGAGACACGTGGGGGATGCGTATTAAAGTGGGCGCTGTGATTGGTCGATGGCTCCGAACGGCCGGGGCCAAATTATTATATAAGACGAAACATTTTAGACATGGGCGTTTTTGGTTTTGAACGCAAACGGATATTTATCGGATTTCAGATTTCAAAATCGATTTTAAAATCCGTTTTTAGATATCCGATTTCAGATGTGCCGAACTTAGCCAATTCACTAGTTTGTGTTATGATTTGGTTTTATTAGCTAACGACAATCACAAACAATTAATTGTACGAAGCAAGGATACTCGTAGATTTGCGCGATTTTCCTTTATGCTTTAAATCTAGGCTTAGGCAAGAGTATATATTCTGTGGCTTAGGACTAGCAGAAAAGTTATCTTTACGGTTAAAAGGTGGTTAAAAGTAAAACTTTTGCGGCGCATTTAAAAATCGGCTTATATACAATGATTTCTTTTTACATATTTTTTTAGTATTTTTTTTGTTTTTATTATTTTTCAAACCATTTACAAAATCAAACCTAATTACTTCAGGTTAGCGTTCAAAATATGTCAGTTGCTCGACTTTTGATGTTTTTAGACGACATCTTTTTCAGTAATAAATAATCCCGCCTTAGAGAAGAACAATAGATTTCCGTAAACAGCAAACCGAAATCGGACTTCCGAAAACGAAAGCACGAATTTCGAATCCGATTTACATTTGGATACTTGTGGTGGTATTAGATCGCTAGCGTTTTGGTTCGGTTAGATTTCTGAAATCGGATTTTCTTGTTGAGAAATCGTTCGGTATCGATTTGTGTTTGAAATCGGATTTTGGATTCGTTTTGATATATCGGACACATGCCTAAAACATTTGTAAGGCAAATTGTAGTCAGCTGTCAGCCAGGAACGAACATCGTGTGAACAACTAGCCAGAAGAATAAAGGAAGTAGTAAAGCAACAACCAGCGTTTTAAATCCGGAAACCTACATACAGTCTACACCAGGGATCCGAGGACCTAAGATTTCATCACCTTTATTATCATCATCACTTTCATCATCGACATTTTGGTCCTTCAAGCCGGATAAATTTTCGAAAACCAACAGTCCTAGTTATTGGACCATTGTGCGTGTCTCGAAACATTCCCGTTACTCCAGCCAGCTTCAGTTAGTCCAGATAGAAAGCAACCTTGGGAGACTGCTGCAGATTTCCGGAAGCGATACTGGTGACTGGAGAAGTCGTGCCCGTTGGTCGGCCACACTCCTGCATTCTATGATGACATGCTATGTCGTTTATTCTGCCTCCATGCATCCTCTGCATAGGGGGCTATCTTTCACTCCTAGTGTGAACAGGTGTTTGTTTAGGGAACACTGACTTGTCTGGGTTCCTATAATCTTGCGGAGCTTGTCCCTATTTAGTCTACCTTCTTTGTTTACAAACAAATATAGCATTTAGTTTCATCATCAGCCTTTTAAGCCTCGTATACATTAGGGGACAAAATGTCCCGCAACATGACGCGCAACGCTCTATATACGAGATGCTACAACGTCCCCCAACTCAGCCAAATAATATTTTGAGACACATTCACGTCACATGTTGCTTGCTCCCGCTCCGAGAGCGAGCGCATGAGGACCAACGGCTTAACGTGCCTTCCAAAACACGAAGGAGATCGAGATAATAAATTTTTGGTCACCCATCCAAAATCCAGCCATTACGAAAGTTGCTTAACTTTCATGATCGCTAATCAACTGTGCTAATTACTTGTGCCATCGAGCTCCTTAGGGCAATCACTAGAAATGGTAAAAAGTGAAAAGTAACAGAAAAGGATGAAAGCCTGATGAAGAGAACTACTTTTAAAAATTAAAACTTAATTTATTGCGTCACATTATAATTAACTAACTTGAAAAAAGAAGATTTCCAATTCATCAGTTCTTTTTCTTTATATGTTCCCAATTACTTTAAAAAATGCCTGGGTCCATTGAAATAGTTATTTTTTTGTTTGCACTTGGATCTTGGAGAAATCATTAATTTCTCAAATCTATACTAATTTAGACATTTTCATAGTAATTTCCAGGGCTTCGCCAGCAGATGAAATTGGGGAGGCAAGTTCATGAAGTTTCACACTTGTAAATAAAACTAGTTTTTACGGGTTAATGCACGAAAACTTTATTTATTTATTGACGTTTCGCAGCCTTTTCAGGTTTCACACTTTTAGTCAGTAGTGCTCTTAACTCAGCTGGGTTGCGAATAACCAAGTGAATCTATTCGAGTTTCAACATGCATGATTCAGAAATATTTGTTTTGGCAAGCAAGTAGGTAGGTAGATAACGATTAAGACTGGTTGCTTTAGATTATTTGGCTACATTTTATATAATGTCTAATAGGGGGTCACACTTAAAATGTTGAACCAATGGAGAAGAAATTTGTTATACCTATTAAAGGATTTTGTGGTTAAAAACTAACATTATGTCCTTTCCTGGACATAAGTTTAAGTACCAGGAAAGGTTATAGCAGTGTTTATCCCCAAAATCATTATTAGAGGGTGAATGAGGGGTGGTACTTTGTGTTATCATTTTTGTGAGTTTTCATAGGTATGTTCTTGCATTGAGTGGGTCCGTTCAGCTGGACACTCACTGATGGGGTTGTGGAAGTATCCGTAATGGTTCCCATGGCCTCACCCAGTGCCTTTGCCTCACCAGGCGGGGTGCTGCCTGAAGGTGGATCTTACGCCCGACGAGGTGACAGCCCATCGGTGAGGTGAGAGGCATCGTCAGGTTTTTAGTGGGTAGGGCCCCATTCCTCTCGAGCAGCCGTTGAGTCGGTCCTTGAGCTGGCTAAGCGGGTGGGTGGGAGGGGGAAGAATTCCCAATTAACCTTGCCACACTCCCGAGGTGGTGAGGTAATAAACATCTTTTTAAAATAGGTGACTTAGACAGTCCTCTGTGCAGAGCCTGCATGGAGGAAGAGGAGACGAGCACTCATGTCCTGCTACAGTGCAGAGGCGTGACCAGACAACGAATGACACACTTGGGCCGCCCGAAGGAAATACCAGAGGCCTGCGGCGACTCCAAGAGACTGCTGAGCTTTTGAGAGAGTTGGGATGGCATGACTAAGGCCGTCCTCACACGCAAAATAGGCACATGGTGTCAAGTTGCGGAAAACACCCATCGTTCAGAAGAAGAAGAAGGCGGTGGGGTATGTCAAGCATTTTCCTGACGTTAAAGCAAAAATTCATAAGTGAAGCCTATTTTCTAGACTTACCATAAGACCGAAGCAATCCATAAACATATCGGAATAGACTTCCTTGTGGCCTCTCCAGTCGTACTCTAAGGTTAACACGCGGCACTTCTTGATGGACCTACAACATCTACATAGACCGGGGTCTATAATGGAATGTTTATTCTTGTCAGACACAACTGGAGATGACATTTTTACACACTTCCCTGTGACGAAACTAATTGGGAAGATTAATCGCGAACAAGAGTTTAACTTTTAATTGTTTATAGTATGAGCGCATATTCATTTTTAGTAACTACTTATTACATTTTTGGTTATGTTATATTGTTGAAGGTTTAGCCCATGGGGCTTTGTGTGATTAAAAAGCATATGCACAGGCATGTAGCCATTCTTCGTTGTTGTTTTAAGCAGTCGATAACGTAGTTGTTTAACGTATTTTTGCAGAAAAATTTAGAAAAAATAATAGTTCTTGATATGATTGATGATGAGTGTTAGAAATATTTATTTACTGATATCTGGCACTATTTAACTCAGCGTTTAGTTTAATAATGAATATGTCAGGTAGATTGCAATTTAAAATCTGACCGAGCTTTACATCAACCTTCGAAATTAATTTGTAAATTATTAAAAAACAAACGGCTGAGGCTGTGGCCCAAGCAGAACCTTGAAACAGGAAGCACGAAGTTTGACAGCTCAACAGTGCAGTGTTACCAGAAAGCCATTTAACCTTCCCCCAAAACTTACCCGAAATCCCCCGAAAATACAGATATTTGAAAAAAACCCTCAAAATGCAAAATATTTATTAAAAACACAATATTTACTACAAAATATGTGTTTCAGCAATAGCATTCATTACTGGATCAACATCTTCGCAAACGTCGTCTTTCCCACTCCTTTTTTAAGCCAGAAACATATTAACGTGTCGTGGTGTGTCATGACGCATCGGTTTCATACATTTATTATGAATTAAAGAGAGAGAGAGAGAGGTTAAAGCGTCGACACGACACGACATGCAAATATGTCTCTAATCAGTAAATGTATCAAACCGATGTACTTCTGGCGCGACACGACCCGTTAATATGTTTTTGGCTTTAATCTTGTTACATAATTTTGTTTTGATAATGCAGTGCCATTATCTTACCAAGGTGCAAACAATAGGCTAGTTTACTCATGTCGAATTGTATTAAACAAATGTTTATTTTTTAAAGTGTTTAGTCTAAGGAACCTTAATATATCGATTTCACTTCATAAAAGCAGAAGATTGCTGTAGAAATTTAATTTAAAAAAATATTTTTTAGTCTATATTTTTTAAACACTAAAAACGCTGTTCGCCACATCCTCTATGATTTTGACGTCTCTTGTGGTAAACAACTAAATGTCATTCGTGTGTTACTGTAGGTGGATTCTTTCGTCTGACTAAATTTATCTTAAAACACTTAACTTTAGGAAAGAAAAAAACAGTAAACTTAGTTTTTATTGACTAAACTAATTATGGATGCCGGCTTTGTGAAAGCAGAAAGCACAAATCTGCCAAGAATTGATGCATTTGTTGCACTAAACTCCGATTTCTGCTCTGCGGAGCAGAGAAACGACAAGGCATCTATGTAAGTACAGTGCATTTAGTATTACAATGTAGTAATAAACATAAAACTGATACAACATATGAATAAGTGTAATAAAGTTGTGTAGGTTAATTTCTTTCGGAACTTTAATCCACAACTTTCCTGGAGTCTTCAAGGATGTGTTTTTATATTCTCGTACAATACAGTAATGAAAATTACTTTATTTTACGTGGTATTTATTAGAAATCATGTTTTTTTTATTATAAACTCAGTTAAAAGTAATTTTCTACGTGTTTACGAGTTTTTGTTTACCACAGTTCACGTCATAGCATAGATAATCCATAGACTAAAATGGCCGACAGCGTTTTTGTATGTCCATGAAAAGTTTATTTTAAAATTAAAGATTTGTAGCTTTCTAGGTTTCAAAAAAATACAACACATTTTTTTTCGGTCTAATGGAACATTTATTAACCATTTAAAACCTTTTTCCAAAAAGGGTCAACTAGCCTATTAAAAGAACAAATTGAAAAATTACGAATTAGCAGAGAAAAGATGATTGATAGTGTCGAATTGATTAAGCTTTGCAGTTTAAGCTAACGACCATTAACGAATGACTGACTTTATTCTCATTGACTTGACTGACGGAGCTAGACGGAATGGACTGAGAGTACTTTTTTAAGTGGGCTTTCGACTTTGGGGTCCAAATCGGGCTCACTGAATAAACGCAGTTCAGTGAGCCCGATTCCTGCATGATTCTGTAAACCTAATAAAATAAAATTTGACAACAGTCTAGATCCTTATCATGCTCTATACCAAATGAGAAGGAGAGACCGTTGATTGACTGTTGATCGTCTCTTTTTACAGATTAAAAGTTTATGAAGTGGTAATATTTTTATATAAAAAATGGGATTGAAAACCCCTCATTTCTTTTACTTCTTTCTTCATCCCCATTTATCCCCCCAACTATCTCCCCATCGCTTTAAAAACCCCACAAATTATCTATCCTTGTGATGCTCTCTACAGAATGAGAAAGACTGTTGATTGACTGTTAATCGCCACTTTTTACAGATTTAAAGTTTATGAAGTGGTTTTAATAAAAAAAATTAAATATTTTCCCCCCAATTATCCCCCAATTGCTTTAAAACCCCCCAAATTTGGGGGGAATCCCCCCAATCTGGCATCAGTGCAGCTCAAAAAATAAATAATACCCACAGAATACAGAGACGTTGTCGTCAGTGTTGTGCCGATCGTAAAAAGCAGAAATCGCTAGAAATGTAATAAAAAATCGGTATATAAAAAAATAAAAAATCGATATCTTTACATTAAACCATTATTTTTTTACTGTTTGCTCTGCACCCTTTACTTTTTCACTTTTTGTCAATTCGAACTAGCTTAAAGTTAATAAAACAACAGTTTTAGATCTATTACCTATTACTTTGAAATTTAGTATTTTGGATACAAGTTATATTTTTCACAAAAATCCTGATATACCGTTTTCCTCCCTTAAAAGGTCGGCAATTACGGGGTCTTGTCATACCTAAATGATGGTCACTAAATGCATAATGTGAATGCATTGTTAAGTAATCCCAATCCAATCCAATTTCCAAATCCGACAGTACATTTTCAGAATTACCACAAATACATACTCATGTAAATAATAAGTTATAAATATTATTATGTATTTATGAATGAGAACTATTTCAATAATATAAGTTATTTTTAAACTTGACAACAGTGTGTCCTCGTCATGCTTCATGAGGTGTGAAAAGAACAGACTAATGTCAAGTTTTCAAAAAGCAAACAGAAATAGTCAGGTGAAGTACTGGCATTAAGTCCACTGATATTCGATTAGTCCATCTATCATAATTTCTTTACTCTGTGTTTGTTATTGTTTTTTTTTGTGTCTCTGGCTTCCTCCGTTTGTGTTTGATAATGATAAACTTTTTATTTAATTTGAAGCTGCTCTAAAAATCATGAATAATTACTTTCAATTTGAGCCAGCACCAGAAAAGGTGTTCGGGCATTGTAGATGTTGTTTAGAAGTGGGCTACCACCGAGATATCACAAGATCTTACATGGAAAATGGCAAACGAGTGAACTATAGTGATATTCTCCTTGATTGTTTTAATTTATTCGTAAGTACTGACTTAAAGGATATTAGTAAAGTTAAGGTAAACAGAAACTTGCCCTTATGAATGTAAAGAGAAATACATATCATTGGAATTTTTATTAAAAAAAATCCTCTAAAATTCAAACAAAGAATCTAAAAAGTTATCTCCACTATTTCCGCCTAAGTTCCGTTTATCTGAAACTCGCTTCCACCCAAGTCAACCTATTTTTTTTTTTGAATAAAGTATGTTATTCAGATATAAGCTACAGGGTATAAAAAAAACTTCAAGAAAAAATCCGCTCGTTCCAGATTTCAGACGGGATTCGTACCCTCATCTTTCACTATCCCGGCGGCAGTTAAATGCTAAAAATATAGTATCTATTATGTGTGCCGAATTTCATCCAAATCAGTTCAGCCATCTTTGTGTGATTGAGTATTTGCATTTATTTTATTAGTAGAATAAAAGTCTCCTAACTGTTTCTGCCAAGCTTTACTCATTATTTATGTTAAAAATCTTAATATTTATAAATTACACATCACATTGTTTGATGGGACGGACTCCTAAACTACTTAAACAATTTTAATCAAAGTTGCACACAGTGTGCAGTTTAGTCCAACTTGAAAGATAGGATAGCTTACATCACAATTTATTAAAATCAATATGTGCATGTGTATGTAGCAAATATTGTTTTGGCACTTAAGTGCAGAGGAGTTTATATAATTAAAGATTTTTATAATATTTGTTTGAAATCACTCACAGATATCAACTAGCATAAACGTCAGCAGCTTGATATGCTTGTCGTGTGTGAGTTTCCTACTTAAAGCGAAAGAGTTCAAAGAAATGGCAATAAGAGCGGAGAAGCGACTCACCGAGACGTTGCTGGTGCAAAATAACAAAGAAATGATGCTGGTCAATGGTGATTTTCCTTTCATTTCAGTTTCTTAAATATAATATGTTTTATATTTTGTTAAATGGCCTATTTAGCAGTAACCTATGTTTTGTTAAATGGCATATTAAGCAGTAATCTAGGTTCTGTTAAATGGCTTATTTAGCAGTTACCATAGTTTAGTATAAAATAATAATGTATATGTGAATGAACGAATGTTAAAGCGCGGGCGGGCATCAGAAGTTCGGATTAGGCGGTAGCGGCGGCGAAGCGCGTGAGAGAAGATCTTAACGTTGTATGCAAATGGTGTCGATTCAGGCATGATTATCTAAACTTAAAACTAAATTTAACATCAGTCTCTCCTTTTTGTTCTGTATAGAGAATGACGAGGATACACTGTTATTAAATTAAATTTTAAGATTAGGGAATCCTGCCAGAATCGACGCCAGTATCTCAAATGGTATAGAAATCACGCGATCTTCAGCACCTTCATTCGTGGCGCATCACGCGCGCAGACTGCCAATCGGCGCGTAGCATATCAGTGCGGATTTTAACGTTGTATGCGAGTATCTCAGTACCCCTAGCACGAACCAATATCGAATTCGTATCGTTTGTGAGTCCGAAATGACATTGTCAAATGTGTACTGATTTTTAGTTCTCGTTACGTACTTTGTGCCGCTGCTGTTCAAGTTTCCATACAAAATTTGACATTGGTATTTCGGTTTGCAAACTATTCGAATTCGATAATGGTACGTGCTAGGGGTACTGCTCTTAAAGAAATCCCGCGACTAGCGCGTGAGCTCAGATTTTAACTTGTATTGTATGCAAGTATCTCAGTCCTTATAGAAATCCCGCGACCCACCGCTCTCGCTATCTGCCGCCACACTCTAAGGGCCGTTCAAGTATTACGTAAGCACTATAGGGGGACAGGGAGGTCTTTGCTTTGCTTATTTTTGATGACGTGGGGGGGGGGGGGAGGTCGAAATAGTGATTACGTCAGCATCATGGATTCTGGTGTCATGGGCTGAAGACTGTTAATTGGCATTAATATGTATACAAAAAATTAGAAAGAAGTTTGTTTTGCTCGTAATAGTAAATAAGATTATAATATTTGTATCTTATTCTATGTTGAATATTGTGTCCATAAATATTGTTTAAATGAATATTATGGGTGTTAAAGTCCTCTATCCTAAGCCTTTTAAGTACTGCTGGTAATAAAGCTCATGATTCAATAAAAAAAATGATCAAAGGAAAAATGCATATAGGTACCATTGTTTACGTAAGCACAGAGGGGGGGGGGGGGAAGAGCTTTGCTTACTCTTGCTGACAAGGGGAAGGAGGGGGTAAACAATTCTAATAAATCTGCTTACGTAATACTTGAACGGCCCCTAACCCCCTTATTATTTCACGAAGAATAAGCTTGGATTAGTTTGAATTTGATTAGATTGAATAACAAATGTCACTTTAGTGATATGAACAAAACATGGTATAACTAGTCTAAGCGTATTCCTCGTTTAGGAGTGTATGCGTCGGGACGCGTTGCCAGTGGGCGAATCGCCTTAGAAGGGTTTTTTTTTAATATTTTATTATTATTTCTTAAAGTCTACAGACCCTTGGTCCGTACCATTTCTGTGTTACATTCAATTATTTTACGTGTTTTATACAATGTGTCTTTCCACGTTCACTACTCGAAAAGAACAAACCTAGACTGTCTATATATATAAAACTCAAAGGTGACTGACTGACATAGTGATCTATTAACGCACAGCCCAAACCACTGGACGGATCGGGCTGAAAGGACAATAGGCAAAACGCACCCAGCTCCTCCAACAATGTAATTAGTATGAATCGTTAGATCTATGAAAAACTAGCCTTTTTTATTATGACACCGAAAATAAATATCCTGGGAGTCAAAAGATATGATACCGTAAAAAATATCCTAGTAGTCAATGGGCATATTTAGCTGAATAAATTCATTTTATATTATTAGTAATCATAATAATATGCCATATCGTACTATACAACCAGATATACGACAAAGCCTGCCGACCATCCTGCGCTTGCTCTTACTGAGACATTTCAAAACGGTTTACGAATGCTGAAGGACTTGCAGTTGCAAATAGTTGACTCGTCTTACTTCGTTGTGATTGTGCGCTCCCTGCTACTTGATTGATTTTTATCTAACACGCTTTGGATATTGGAACACGATTATCCGTTTTGTCAATTAGTATGGATAAACTAGAATTATGTGTTCTCCGAAGCGTGGACAAGTTTGTGTAATCTGTGGTCGCTCCGTTTTACATAGAAGACAATTTTACTATAACGAACAGAATGTTTAAAAAAACCCAACCCCTGCGGGGATTTTGAATTTACTCTAGCGCGGCAGAATAACATAAGGGGGCACCCTTGCACCTTTGAAGTACTCCCATAATTCCTGAGCAGCCTATGTAGGGTCGAACTAACTAACTAAATTAATTCCCTTGTTTCATTAATGTTCGTTCGTTATAGTACTTCTACATATTTAACTTAAAATAACTAAAGACCCCCGGGATGGAATTTAATGCACTTTGGCACAGATGATCTTGACTATAATACCTTTCAAACAAATGTAGTTTAAGCCGTGGCGGACGTGGGTGCAGCGTCCATACATTTTTGCCCAATGTCCTTTGGCATGCAGGTAGATGTTATGACGTAGGCACCCGCTAAGAAAGGATTTTGATCAATTCTACCCCCAAGGGGATAAAATAGGGAATGAAAGTTTGTATGAAACTGTCAATTTTAAACCGATCGGGTTGAGACTTTGCATGCAGGTATAAGAAGAATCATAGATGAATATCATTGTGTATAATAAAAGCCTGAGTACAAAAACTGTAGTCTACACCGAAGCGAAGCGAGGGCGGGCCGCTAGTTTCTGATAAAATGAAAGATTAAACTCTGTACTACTTATACTCCGAAATTCTTATAACCACCTTCGCTTACTTCTAATACTTACAATTAAATTAAGAAGGGGTTCGGATTATAGAAGTCCTGCTGTATGTGGCAGCAATAATAAATAAATAAATAAATATTTCCAACACTCACACCAATTAGCCTAGCCCCAAAGTAAGCACTATAAGGCTTGTGTTATGGGATACTAGGGTAACGGATAGAATACATATACTGTACATATATAAGTATATTTATATAGAAAATACATATTAAACATCCATGACTGGAGTAAAAATGCTCGTATTAATCACACAAACATTATATCAACATATTTGAACCCAGGACCTCTCGAGTCGGCGACACCATTGAACCCACAAACCACTTGGCCACGGAGGTCGTCGGTAGCAATACCGCTAATGCTTCCATTTTGTTACTGAGGTCTATTAGAGCTTTCCGATATCAACTTAATTATAAATTAAGCAGAATGAGGATCATTACTAGGTCAGCAAATCAACTCAAAATTATCATAATGATTTAATAAGCTTTTTAATTAATACTTTTTAAATCATCGAAATCGGTTCATTCGTTGCGATTTTATGGTAGCCAATTTTCCCCGGCGCGGCGGCCGAAACGTGTGACGTCACAGAGCTTGATCGTGGTTCACTCCGGTCACGGTAATATTATCTATACAGTATTCTATCTTCATACAAACGATCGGAAAGCGTGTCATACCTATGCCACTCGAGTTCGCGCGGCACTCGATGGGCATCCAGTTGCGAATGCGCCGCAGCGACGACCGAACGGTGTGAATTGTTTTTTAAGCAGTTAGCAATGCTTAAACGTTTGTATTGTGAATATTTGATTGAATTAAGTAGATACCTACATAATTTAATATAGCAAAGAACAATAGTAGTTATTGTGCTGTTTTTGGTTGCTTGAACTCTTCAATAATTGTATCGAACGGCGTCTGTGGCGCTCTTCCTAAAACCGTCCGATACGGTGCGGTGGGGTGCGGATGCCTATGGGGCTGGCAGCTTCAATGAAAGATCCCTTTTCTAGCTTCAGTGCGCTTGCTGTTGCTTCTAGTTGCATGTGCAGTGGTGTAACGGTGAAAGAGTTCGAGGCTGTCCTTCGTCGTCTCGCGCGTCGCCGGCGCCGGAGGCGCCGCACTGTGGAATATTTCGGTGTGTTTCGGATTAAAAATCTGTAACTCCGTCAATTTGAAAGATAGACTTATAAAATTTTACTATAATATAAAGTGATACATAAGGATTCATATAAGTAATGTTTGATGAATTGGAATTATGCGTATTTTTTTAATTAAAAAAGAAAAGTCACAAAATGATTTAAAATAGTATTATTAGTATTATTTATTTATTGAAATATTTTTTAGAAACATATTGTACGTCTATTTCTTGCTAATACTCTATTAAGATAACTATCATATTATATTGATAATATAAAATTAAAAATGGTAAAATATTTTTAACACTACGCTAACATACAGAAACAAATCAAAATTATCGCAATATATTTCTTTTTTTTTGCTCAGCAAGATTGACATCTTACACCCGGTGAGCTTCAGGATCTGAAATAAGTTCATTAACCTTGAGAAGGTGTAAAGTATCTTCATCGAGCTCCTTTACATTTTTTGCATATGGTTTTCTTATGCTCGTTATATATGGATCTGAAGTGTAAAGTAGTGTATTAAACACATCTTCGTTTGTAGCTATTCGAGAGCATTTCCGAGCATGGTGTAAGCGAAATTTTTTATAGTCCTTATTGCGAGATTCTTGAGCATCTTCTGAAAGTTGCCCAATTGGTAATACCGCGAAATGGTTTATGATACTCTCTCCGTGAATTAAAATTTTGTGGACAGATGATGGCATGTAATACCAACTATATTTACTCACGTATATTCTTGCAGTTTCCAGAGCATAATTACCAAATTTCTTACTATCTACCACTATACCAGATGACAAAGCCTGCAAAATTATATATAACCGTTTAATTAAATCAATGTCAATCCCTGTGATATCAGCAGAACAGGCAGCATTGTAAAAAAATCTCCTAGCAGTATTGCCATCATTACTATTTCCCGT